AAAAAAATCCGAAATCTAACCAGCGGCCTTGTTCAAAGCTTGCAGCGCTTCTGGTCTTGTAACGAATGCAAAAATCATCTGATACACGCTTTTCCGCAGCTCATCGATGGTAGGATTTGATTCAAGAAAACGCGTAAAACAAGACATTATTCGCTGGCTGAATGGCTCCATCTGAAGTGAATTAGAGCGTTAATAATTGGAAAGTATCTGCACAAATCTTTTTTCAGCATCTATACCTACCTGCTTGTCAACAACACAACCGTCGTCATCATCTAGGAGCTGTTTTAACCCCGAACAAACAATCCTCGTCACTTTGTCCTGTGGGAGGTCGAAATCTGATAAGACCTGCAAAAACTCAATAGAACCGGACCCTTCAATTTTGATTTGAACATTTGTGTACCAGAGGTACTATTTTGATGAACCGATTTTTCAAAAGCCGATGGGCAAGCTAACACCTCCCCAAATAAATGTTTCACTAAGACACCCATAAAATTGTTATCTCTACTGTACTCCAACGTTACAGCTCTTCAAAGATAATGTTTTGATTTCTGTAAAATAAGAGATATCGTCCATAAATGCCAGCAATTATTTTTTTCCTTCCCATACTTGAATTTTCCGAAATTTTTGTCATTATTGTTAGAAAATAATTCAGCAAATATTGCAATGTGAGAAGCCGACACAAAGCGAAACAGATTGTTTGGTTTGAAACAAACCTATAGAATGGATATCAACTTTCCGAGCTTAGTGCAGACCAAATACAGACGACTACTTAAGTTACGCTGGTAAATGCTTTAGCAATCAACTTTATCAATAAGACGCAAAAATCCCCACGGCTTTCTTTTTGAGGCATACCCTGATCATTTTTGTAGCTTAAGCACCAACCTGGTCAATGGTCAAAGCGACTGATTCTGAGGTGTTGTCAGCCTGAGCCAGCGGACGAAAGGCCAACAGAACCACTTGCACCTATGATGTAAGTTTCAGAAAGATACATCCATCCAACAGCTTTCTGCCAAATGTCTCACCTCATATTTCTGGTTCATAAATGCTGGAAATGCAGCTGAGACACACAATCTCAGTAACGGTTCTTCACTTCCAGACGCAGGCGGGAGGCGGATGCAGTCGACCAGTATTGTCACACAGATGGCTGAAGCCAATAGTGCGCGGATGGACTGCAGCAGACGGAGGTGAAGAGTGGAAATCAACTGAACAAAGGCGATTC